TCATAACCACCGCCATAACCACCGCCCTCCTCAATAGTGGATTGGGTGATGGAGAACGAAAGAGACAGAGAGAGATAGTGATATCGAAAAATAGAGAGATAGAGAGAGAGAGAGAGAGAGAGAGAGAGAGAGAGAGAGAGAGAGAGAGAGAGAGAAATAGACAGCGAGAGACAGAGAGAGAGCAAGATTGAGAGAGAGTGAGATTGAGAGACAGAGAAAAGAAAAAAGAAAAATAAATCTGAGAGAAGCGTGACTTTAGAATTTATGGATTTAGGTTAAGGATAAATTAGGGATAAAAGAAAAATTGAGGATGTGACTCATATTTATTTTTCTAAAAAGGATTTAGTTCATAAAAAAAATATTAAGGTTGTATTCCATATCTAATTATGTTTCCAACTATGGACCTCTAGCATATTACCCCTTAATTTTTTTCCTAATTACAAAACTTACTAGAAAAATCGTAATTTTGGAATTAATTTCGGAAATTAAATCAGATCAGAAATCAGAAATTCCGAGTATTTTGTATATAATTCCAATACCAATCAAAAAAATTCGGAAAATATCAAAAATGGGAATTTTGGTAATCATAATGAAAAAAAATGTTCTAATATCGAAAGTTTTTTAATCAAAACCGGCATAAATTGAAATTTTCGTTGCAACTTTCACCCCTATTTTTCAAGTGTTCATTTTCTTCTTTCTTGTCAGATCTATCTATGGCTTCTTGATTTTTCTTTCATCTCTTAGGGCTTTGAAAGACTTTAATTATCTAATATGGATGAAAAAAAAATGCTTCTTTTATAGTCTCATGTTTCGAGGGTTATTTCATATGCTAAAAATAGATGACTAAGATTATAATCATATTTTCGGTCCAAAAGTAGTAGGATCGCGGTGACAACTAAGTGCACTACATCAAAGAGCAAGTGAAGCGAAACAATACAACAACGATTGTTAGTTCGAGGTTCATATTGGTGCTCGTTGAATTCGCAAATTATCCAAATTAAAACCAGGTTTTTAGTATGTTCAGTACAAATTTCAAAGTATCGAAATGTAAATGTTGTAGTTTTTCGAATTAGCTTTACAATTCAATTTAAATCATATCGTTTGAAAATTGGGTGGAAGAGTTACAATTGAAAAGGATACACAAGGTTGAAAAAATAACTTAATTTCATAGTCGAGTGTTTGTTTTGCTCCGATGCTTGTATGTTTCGGTCATCATTTATCTGTGCATTTGTTTACCTAAAAAACACTAATCATATAAAAAGAATGGTGGTTAAATCATTTAATATTGTTAAGAAACTAATAAAGAAGAACAAAGCAAAGATGAATTAACATAGTAATATAGAGAGAAACAAGTATATCTTCTTGTGTTCTTGTGTGTCCAACTCAATACAATGGAGCACTATATATAGTACAAGTAAGACCATGAAAGGTCATAAGTTACAAGAAGTTATGGGCATATAATGGTGAGTAAATGGTGGGAGTAGTGGTGGGAGTAATGGTGCTTGATGATAGTAGTAATGGTGGTCCCACACTTAAGAATTCATAACACTCCCCCTTGGATGTCCACCATATATGGAGTATGCCTCTGTTGGGGCTAAATACCTAACACGCAAGTGCACGTATCGCAAACAAGTAGTAAAAGTGGACTCGTGAGAGTCGGATGTCGATCCCACAGAGAATACTCAAATTATCTAATCCTAAGTACCAAATTCTAACAATTATGATTTTATTCCAGCCTACGCAAGGTTGTCAAATTTAATCAACTAAATAAATTAAACTAATTATAAAAGCAAATAAACAAAAGAGAATATCAATATAAAAACGGATTTAGGATTTTATCTTCCCCTATGCGATAATTCATCACCCAATTAACCTCTATCATGCAAGTTACGATTCCCGATTATTAACCCAAGACACGGAATTACTCATAACCCGCTGTCGCGTGTATTATGAGTCTATTATTCATAAATGATTCACTATATATCTATGCAAACCTAATTTGAATAAAGCATTAAATAACAAGTCTCGAAAACGGCTACCTAAGGTATTATCTGTATGTCTACGATAATACATGCAATTAACACACTCATCCGGTGAAAACTACTCGAAGGTTCTTCTATCCCTGTTCTAATTATTAAAACGATCTGTCGATTCAATTCTAACAATAACCATAGCAACATAAATTAGCTACGTTCATGCGCTAAATAAGATCAAAATAGAAGAAATAATCGAAGAATTTAAACTTGCATAATAGTAGAAAAATAGGTTCGAATTACCACATAGGGTTCCAACAAAATCCTAGATTTAAAAACTTAGCTACTCATGTTCTCTACGGGAAGCATAATAAAAATACGAAAAATCATAAAAGTTGTTGAATAAAAGTAAAAAGGGAGAACTATGATGAAGATTCGTCAAGTCTTCGTTGCTCCGTTCTCTCGTTCCTAGATTGCGTGTGTTCAAAGATTCCTAATTGTGTGCTTTTTGGCCTTTAAATAGGGTGCAAAAATATAAGAGGGCGGTTTCCTTGTGTAATTAAACTTCCTTCACTGCGCCACTTCGTGAACCCGGACGCCCATGCGAGAAATAGCTCTGAAATCCGGACGGCCGTCCGGTCTTTAATTCTTCAGAGTTTTGATTTTTTTACTTTTGGCACACTTTTTCTCCTAATTTGCAGTTTTTACCCCATAAGTTGCCAATTCTTCGATTTGTACCTAAAATACAAATAATAACCATTTTAAGCACCAATTATTGTTAAAACACACCAAAAGCTCCAAATAAAAGGTGCAATTAAGTGTAAAAATATACACTTAACAGCCTAGAAGATTCCACTAAATTTGAAACCGCACAAGTGGACGTTTAAGGAGATTTACAGTTGTGGGTGGTTGTAATTACCCAAATAAGAGGGGGGTTTTCGTAATTTGACCATACATCAGGGTGGTTGCAATTTACCCAAATTTAAAAAAAATAATTAGTAATAATAATTCCTTAAACGGGTCAAATCCAACTCCTCGGACTGCATACGGATCCAAATACGGGTCGGTTCAAATCCGAGTCAAGCCACTAATATAATATAATTCCATTTCACTTCTCACTTCCACACAGTAGTCAAGTTTTTAGGGTTTCTTCTCACTCTCTCTACTGCACATACACACACTTTCTCTCTCTAACACACAGCCATGACTGCCCAAACCCAAGAAGAACTCCTCGCTTCCCTTCTCGAGCAGCAAAAAATCAATGTAATTTATCTTTCACTCTGTTACTTCGTTGAATTTGTTTTCGGATCTAGAGTATTTGCCTTTTATGCTTTTCGATTTCGTGTTTGTTACAGTTGAAAGTTTAATTTTTATTCATGAAATTCGTAATTTATACGCCTCGAAATGAAACTTTGTTTTGCACGAACAGTGCGCTTTGTTGTTGTTTTAGCAATTATTGTTGATTAAATTTGATAGGCTGACGAACCGCTTGTGGAAGATGAAGACGATGATGACGAGGACGATGACGAGGATGACGATGAAGGTTTGTTTTGGGTTTTAATGTTTCAACTTATTAATTGTGATGAAGAAATTTATTAATTACTGATTTGAATCTACTGTGTATATCTTGGTGCATTCTGTTGTGGATTTCGCGTTCGTGAATTTATATTTTGTGTGATGTTTTCGTTGTAGTTTCTTGTGCTCTTTAGGTCTAATTCGTTTTGATTCGTGCTGTTTATTTTTTTACTGCATATGACATGTTTGGTCACAACCGAGTAGGATTTGTAAGTGTCGGCTAATCAGACGAATGAATGGAATGCATTTTTGCTGTTTCTTACCAACTCGTCTTGCGTGCAGAATTTTGTTCTTTGATTTGCTGTATAGGATATCAATGTCGACTATTTGTTGTATGCAATGGGTATTCCGTCAATTTGTTAATATTGCTAGAGTCGGCTGGATTTATATGATATTAACTATGGTCACAGATGACAATCATGGTTATCGTATTACTTTCCTTTTACCGAATGTTGGATCATATACAGAAAATCATTACTATGTAAGAACTTGGTAACGTCCTGAGTTGTTCAATTAGGTATATACATACATACACCAAAACAAATGATTATATTTTTTTTTCATCATTATTTTTTTTTTGTCACAGGACTTCAAGACGGAGATGCAAGTGGTAGGTCAAAGCAGAGCAGAAGCGAAAAGAAGAGTCGCAAGGCAATGCTAAAGCTTGGAATGAAAGCCATTCTTGGAGTTAGCCGTGTCACTGTCAAGAAAAGCAAGAATGTCCGTTTCTTTTCCACGTTTGTTTTTTATTATTTCCCGTTTTGTTTACATTTATTTATTGCCTAATTATTCAAATTGATCTTTTTTTGTTTCTCTCAGATTTTGTTTGTGATCTCGAAACCCGATGTATTCAAGAGCCCAACATCAGATACCTACGTAATTTTCGGTGAGGCGAAAATCGAAGACTTGAGCTCACAGCTGCAAACACAGGCTGCAGAGCAATTTAAAGCGCCCGATTTGAGCGGCATGATTCAAAAACCCGAACCTTCGGTTATCACTCAAGAAGATGAAGATGATGATGACGTGGACGAGGCTGGTGTGGAGCCCAAGGATATCGAGTTGGTTATGACTCAGGCTGGGGTGACTAGATCAAAGGCGGTCAAGGCTCTCAAAGCTGCTGATGGAGATATTGTTTCTGCGATTATGGAGTTGACCAATTGATTTTATTCGGCTTTTTTCTTCTTTTTTATCCGATGTATTGCTTTTTTGAATTTTGCTACTCGTTTATTTTCTTGGCGTTTAGGGTTTATGTTTCATATACTGTAAGATGGTTAAAACGGTGGCGAAGATTGAGTATTTGTCGCGGTATGTGCAATTTTCGTATGAACCTTTAAATGAGCACAAGTTTTCTCTATTTGTTGCTGATTCTTGGAACTTTTAATCCTAAAATGTGTTATTAATCAAATTATCATATTATTTATATGGATAGTGACAAATGCAGGACGAATTTTACTAAATGTATGATATTGTATGTAAACATTCAAACATTAATCACCAAGAACATGGATGTATCTTTTTTGGAGGCAGATACAATTGAAGTGAGGTAAAAATTTAGTTATATCGAATATTAAAGACAAATAAATTTAGAGTTTTTCTTCAGATGTGTTTAGGGTAAATTACGGCCACCCCTGATGCGGTTTGTATACAGTTAACGATAAGTGGACGACTAATTTTTTGGGGTAAATTACAACCATCACTCAACTATGAATCTAGTTACATGTCCATACTTGCGGTGTCAAATTTAGTGGAATCTTCTAGACCATGTGGAACAGATACCAGTTTGTACACATTTTACTCCATCCGAGCTTCACATTTTGAAACAAGATGTTCACATGACATGTTTTTTAGGCTTAGCTTATAAATATCTGATTGTGGTACATCAGAAACTGTCTTTTATCACAAAACAAGTACAAAGTAGAGAACATTCACGGAATCTAGAAGATTCTGTTGAATTTACCACAATAAAAATGATTATGTAAGAAAATTAATAGTTTAGGGATGGTTGTAATTACCCAATCATGCAAGGTTTTTTTTTTTTTGTAATTTGACCTTATACACGGTATCGCTTATTATTATATGATTTATATCCAATGTTATTTATCACTTAATTAAATTAAATAAAAATGATTTTTATTAGAGAGTATTTTTTTTCTTTTTTACTTTTTATGGGAAGCACAGAACAAAGTCGGACTGTAAGCAAAAACTTGGATTTTCTCACGTAATCAAAGCTCAAGGTCTTCAACAATGGCGGACAGAAATCATCAGCCCCAAAAACCCATCACAAATCGAAGAGACAAATTCTCATCCGACTCCAATCAATCCAAATCCCACAACCCCAAACCTTCAAATCCAATCTCCAATTGCAGAAACGACACCGTCTCTGCCCATCAAGATTTTCCCGCCCTAATGGGTTCTTGCCCTTTCATGTGCCCAGGTAATTTAATTTTACTCAGTTTTCAGATCACTCTTCTTTTTTCCTTTTTTTCGCCATTATTGAATTATTATTTTTTTTATTATTTTTTTTTTCTCAGTGGAGGAGAGGATAAGGCGGGAGAGGCTGCGTGATTTGTCTGTGTTGGAGAGACTCCATGGAAATCCTGCTAAAACTTCACCCACTCTTGCTGTCAAAAAGGTACACTATATATACACATGTTTGATGTATGTATATATTTCTTTTCCCTTTTTGCCCTTCCCTAATTTGCTGCTCTGAATGAAATGATTGCATATGTTAACTGAGCCAATTGGGGTTTGTTTGTCTTGTGGAAAAAAGGATGGTTCGGTTTGTATCTTGAAATCTCGATTGTGGTGGCAATTATCTCGTTCGATCGACCTTAGGGGAACGAGTAATAATGATGTTGCCGAATATTTCGATTCTTTCATTCTTTAGGATCTTCTTCAATCTTGGTGAAATTCTTTAGTAGTTATATTACTCGTCGTGTAGTAAAATCATCGTAACATCGAAATGTGGGTATATATGCGTGATACCTCTTACGAAAAAAAATTAGGAAGGAAAATTGGAAAAGTGGGAAAAACGAGCCGTCTAGCATGGTTGTGGACACATTATAAAAAAACGATGGTGTGTATACTATTTGTAGGTCTACTTGATCTAACCGATGAAACTTGCGATTTTTATCTCAACTGTTAAAAAAACAGCTACACTTATGTCAACTCTAGATCTACTAAATTATTATAAAAAAATCAATTGATGAAACTCGTTAAATCTCGATTGTTTGATTTAATATCAAGAAAGTTTTGTTCGTCTTCTTTTTCATTTTTTATTTATTTTAGTTCTGCAGAACTATAAGCACAAGAGAAATGCAAGCTTCCGATTTACGGCCTATACCGGTTTTGGAAAGCACTCTGAATTATCTTCTCAACTTGATGCATTCCGAAGATCATCCTTTTGAGGTTGTTCATGATTTCATCTTCGATAGGACAAGGTCCATTCGGCAAGATCTTAGCATGCAGAATGCTGTGGGCGATCGGGTGATACATATGTACGAGAGAATGGTACGACAACTAATGAATTTATTTTTATTTGCTAATTGTTACTCATTATCTCTTAATCAACACTCTAATATTTCAATCATTTAATTTAATTTTTATTTTTCAAATTGTAGTAGCCGTTCACATCGTAATTCGTGTATCGTAAATATGTTTGTTATCAGTTCTTACTACAAGAAAACAAAACTATTTTATGGCCCTCGTTTGGTTGGTAAGAATATGACTAGACATGATTAATTAAATAATTCAATCTTATTGAATGTTTGGTTACTCCAATAACTTTTTCGGGCCCGGCCCGTGAAAAAATGGCTCCGATCTTGACTAGTTGGGATATTATTGATTATAATATAATCGAGATTTCATAAGGTTATTTAATCTTATCTTAGGAACCAAACGAGGCCTATGTTTATAGTCGTTACTCTTCGAATTTCAACATTTTTAGAAATAAGAATGCTTAATGTTTCTTATATATGCACAGGTGAAGTTCCACATCGTATCGCGTCACCATCTTCAAAGATCTTGTGGGACCCCAAATGCCGTGTCTTTATATCACCTCAATGCGGAGCAGCTTATGAAATCTCTGACAACTCTACTTAATTTGTACGAAGCAAATCGAGCGGATTCACATTCTACATTCCTCCAGAGTGAAGCTGAGTTCTATTCGCATTATCTTCTTCTCCATCTCGATTCCAAAAACCAAGTACTCCAATTAATCTCTTAGCCACAACTCATTTAATCTTCGTTCGATTTTGTTTTTACATGCAGCCTTTTAATAAATCACCTATCTTTAAAAAATAAAAATCGTCTTTGCAATGTACAGGGTGAACCTTTATCTTTGTGGCTCCGCCGAATTCCTTCTCCCATCATGAAATCAAGAGAGATGCGTTTTGCCCGTCGAATATTAAGGTAAGTATAAGTCGATTCAATTTTTTTCCCCCCTTTCTTTAGGGTATATTTCTTAATTTTTTTGAGGCTTTTTAGCAGATACTACCGCATGGGGAACTACAAACGTTTCATTCATACTACGGAAAACGAGGCGTCCTTTCTGCAGTATTGCATTATCGAACCTTACATCAACGAGGTCTTTTGTTGTCTCGTGTTTGTACAGTTTTCTTGTGTTGTTTAGAGCTACTAAATTCACGTTTTATTTTTCTTGCTCCTAATTTGACTATTAAAAAAGGTGCGGATATTGGCATTGTCCTGCATCAGTTACGGAGGATACAAGATGCAAGCATATCCACTGGTGCAGTTATCGAAGATTCTGATGATGGAGGTAAATTTTGTGTCTTCGTTTTTTGCTGATATATATTTGTTTATTGAAGAAATTATAACATGTTTACTCTCTCTTTACTTTTATTTCAGGAATCGGAAGTTGAAAATTTTTGTACCGATTGTGCTCTTGAAACATCTAGTGATGGTGCAACTGGAAAGGGGCTCATGTCCACCAAGCAATTAGTCGTAAATAAATTCTCGAGTGGGCCCCACAAGTACTATCCAATGAATTCAGAACGGGTACATAGGTATCTCTCTCTCTCTCTCTCTCTCTCTCTCTCTCTCTCTCTCTCTCTCTATATATATATATATATATATATATATATATATATATATATATATATATATATATATATATATATCAAAGTTGTTGCAGTTAATTGAGTGCAGTTCTGCTGGTCAGGTTATATGCTGAGCTACCCGAGTTGTAATAATTGCAAATATGATTGTATTTACTTTTCAATGGGATACGTTAGACAAAACCGCTGATCCCTAACAGAAAATTATGAGTCACATACAAAGAAGTATGGTCTTGGCTTGGGGAAGATGACTAAAGCTCTTACGTAATTTTGTGAACGGCGGAACCTTGTTTGTTTTCGATTACAGGAAAGATAACTTATCCAACTTACTGCATCAACTTATCCCGTTGGTCGTAAAAATGGGTGAAGCCTTTGTCGTTGATTCATATCCAAGATCTCGGAGGTATGTCTGCTAGAGATGATACTCGAAAAGTTGGCTACGCTAGCTTCTTTTTTCTCGACTCGTAAGGAACTAGAATAATTGTGTCTCGAACTATTTTGTGGATTGAGTTTTGTATGTATATTTATTATATAGGGGCTTTGACATTATAATTTAGATACTGTTGATGTTGTGTTGATTGTAACTGGAAATCTTGTATCATTTTTCATCTTGGCAGCTTCGAAAATAATATATTTTTTTCTTTTTTTCTTTTTTTGTAATTAAAAAATTAATTATCCACTATTAGGAAACTGACGTGCTAGATACCAAAATTTGAAACAGCTTTTTGTGGGCAATTGTGATATTGATATTTTGTCAACTGAAAATGCAATAATAATAGATCAATCTTCTTTGACCCATAATATTTTGTTTTTGAGCAATTAATAAAGCACCTTTACAACTAATTCTATTTTCATCTAGTGAGAAATTAACATTAGACAAAATCTAGTAGTAATAAGGGAAAAACTACGGAAAAAAAATCGAGTGCCGGATAATATAGAACAAAAGAAATCCTCATACGAAACGGAGAGAGTAAATGGTAATTGGTAACGATTACAGCGTCAAATCGTTGCCCAGAAAAACATACAAACCGTACAGAATTCACGAAAACTACAAACTTAGGAATACAATGGAGGTAACAAGTACATTCCTCAAAAATGACAAAAAACCGAAGAAAATCACAACACGAGAGAGGATTACATATATTCGAAGTCCGGGTGACTGACTGCATTAGCACCTCTGTGGAATTTCTATATTACAAAGACGATTTCTTTTTTCTTTTTCGATTTAACCAATTCAGCGAGAGAGAGCGAAAAAAAATGGCAACAAACAATGCAACAAGTCGAGAAAAACTAATAAGTAAAGCATTTTTCGACGATTTTTGATATTCAATGAATATCGGACATTTGGCAGACAGCTGGCATGTTATTCCAGCAGCAAGAACTAAGGCCCCAAATAGAAGCAGAAGTGTTCTTCGTATCTTCACCCATTAGAGCTCCGATAGCATCGGTCGGTGGGCAGCCTTGTTGCTTCCAATAGGAAGCATTTTGCTCGACCCAGTATGAACCTAGTGATGCTTCAGGGGTAGAATAGTCCAAGTAGTTATTCGGGTTTCTTTTGCTTTCGCTATCTATGATCCAACTCTGGTCGAACACCTCTGATTTCACACGGCGCACTGCAGAACACACATGATTAAACAAAATATTGTCATTCCTTTAATCAAAACAAGATGTTTGGTCATTACGTAATTACATAATGATAAAATCAAATTTCCAACAACTCGTTCGTTTCCTATAAGGCCTAGCTGATAAGAAAATCAAGAAACAATCATTCAAGAATCAAAGATATCAATCTAAAGCACAAATCAAAAGGGTCATAACCAACATATTTCCAGTTTCAACATCTTTATTCATCAAGATCAAAGGGTCATAAGCCAACTTGAACTACAACTAACAGTTTCATGGCTAGCATTTGACAAGAGACGACTACTATTTTGAATTTTTGAGCTAAAAAGACACGAGAAGAAGTAAAATTACAAGAAAGTAAAAATGTTTATCCATCGAGATAGCTAATACTTCGGCTTTTAACCAATTCCCACTTGTAATAGATCCGAGTACTTTACTTCTAGGAAAAAAGGCACCACGATTTATTATTTGAGAGAGAATATGAACCCTTACCAGATTTGTTCTCTTCCAATGAACTTCTGAATGTACCAGCCGAAGAGTATCCGTTGAAAATCGATCCTATCGAGTTACCCGATGGAGAACTAGGGTGGTCAAGATAATCTTTATACCCAGCGGAACCCTTTTCCAAGGCGTGGCTATCTTTTACATCTCCATGACTGATGTTGCATGAAGTGGCCCAATCAGAAGATTGATTATCTGACTTGCTCAGTGCCTTAGCCTCGTAAAGTAGATCTTCTAAGAGACCACTGCTACCTGGAGAAGGCCAATGTGAAGATGGTGGCCCTAACATCGGAGACTGGACTAAAGAATCAAATGATTCGGGTGTGGAATCCCAAGCACCGAATCCGGATTCTTGATATTGGAGTGAAGGGAGCTCCGACTTCTGATTACATGTGAAGTGCTCAGAAGCAGAGGAAATGCCATTTGACATAAAATGACTGTCTTTATCAACACCAAAAGGAAACATTTTCTTGGTGGGGTCGGGTTCGTATGGGAAATACAGACCAAAGGATTGAGACATTTTGCTCGCGTAACTTTCGATTTGGTTCTTGTGAAATGGAGGTGCCTCAATTGGAGCACCTCCTTCATAGTCTGGCATAGGTGCATCAGTTTCTTGGGCACATTTCGGAATTTGGGGACCAAAAGTGCAGAACTGAGGAGCGAATCCGTTACTCGTCGAAACGGTGGCAGAAATACCTGGAAATTCGGATGTGTATGGTGAGATGTTGAAATTATCAAACATGAAATCAGGTGTCTCGTAGCCATTGATTTGCATGATATCGTGGCATCCTTCATATATTCCAGGTGAACCGTGGTGTTGATTCTCTGGCAGTGCATGTAGGCATAAATCAGGAGGGTAAAGTGGTAAACCAGCACGTTGACGCCTTTTTATTCGGGTGTTCCAGTAGTTCTTTATCTCATTGTCCGTCCTTCCAGGCAACTGAAATGAAATTACAAACATTTTTGGTATAAATGACTGAGCAGGAGAAAAATCCAAACAATCTCTAACAATATGTCTTAACATCCAATACCGGAAGGAAAAGGTCAAAAGAAAGAAAGAGCATTTGACAATTCATAAGAACATTTTTGAGCTCGTAACTATGAGTTTCTTTTCCTGTTCCTTTTCAAGACAATCTGAACTATCTATGTCCAGGACTTCTATGGCTTCATGAAATTGTTATTTCCATCATATAAAACAACCAAATGTCATTATGTTCTTATATGAGTCGGTTGTGGAAATTTATTCGGAGATACTTGAAGAAAATCATCAATAATTTACATAACATATTCATTTAGCATTGGTGACAAGTGTTGAATCTGTAATCATACTCAAAGGTGTATAAGTAGATATGGATATGAAAACCAAACAAAGAAGAGAAGCACTGCCATTTTTTATTTTTCATTTTTCCTTCTGTACACTGTAGATATATATAGAGATAAATGGATAAAATTTGTTATGCTAAAAAACAAGAAGTGAGGACACATGTCTGCCTATATATTCCCTTGCATATTTGTCGTGATCTCTTGTGGTGAGCTGGCAATAGGTTTAGTTTCTTGGGGATAAAGACTATTGCTAATAACAAGGATTATCAATAACACAAGTATGCAAACGAACAATATGATCTTCATCGCATTTGCTTTTAGATCTTTTCTTATTTTCCCCAAAAAAGAAAGTAGAGAAGAAAAAAAAGAAAAAGCATTCTCTAATTTTACTTTAGGTGAGCAGCACGTAAAAGATGATGCTAAGAGTTCTTGGAAAAACATAGTAACGTTAACGCATGCACCAATTGCAAGCTCAAAAGTGTATGCTAATGAAAGCTTATATCTGTTACTTTACTTCGTTCCAACCTAAAAGGACCATATAGCATTACATGTATATCTCGACTCTTCAAAAGGATTGAGTGGAATTACAGAAGAAACATCTTTGCATATTAAATTTGTTCCTTAGACATGAAATTCTGCAGAACATAATCATAGATATCATCTATTTGAGGCAACCTCCATACCAAACCCCCCATACAGTAACCGTAAGATCTTCACATAAATACCAATAAAACCATTCTTGGTAATACTTCAGAGATCTACAAATAAACACATTGAATTCACAGATAGAAACACAAACTGGTAAAGAAAAGTGACTGTCGAAACTTACATGTGCAGCCATTCGAGCCCATTTGTTTCCCATCTTGGCATGAAGTTCGATTATTAATCGCTCTTCTTCTGACGTAAACGCGCCTTTCTTAAGATTTGGCCGTAAATGGTTGGCCCACCTTAACCTGCAGCTTTTTCCACACCGTGAAAGCCCCGAGTGTTTCTGAACTGCATTCCAGTTGCCTTCTCCGTGCCTCTTCACATAGTCAACTAAAATTGAATCCTCAGCAGTTGTCCACGGGCCTTTCTTCAGAAGAGCGTTGCCATTTGAACTTCCGCCGGAATTTTCCCCATCGTTGCTCAGAGGAGAATCGGCAGATAGCACACCGTCATCACTCTCAGTAGTAGTGCTGTGCCCCATTTTTATTACTCTCTGCGTGTTTGTCTGTCTGTCAGAGAGAGAAAGAACTTCTTAAACTCCACAAATCTAGCAACTTAATTCGCATCGAATAAGCCTTTGTAAGGCTGAAAAATCAAGGGAAGAAAAAAACCCCAATCAAATTCTTGATACCCCATGCAGAAGTGGCTTCATTAATGGTATTAAAACCTACTGAATTTAAGCATGGGAAGCTAAAATCAATCAAAATCAGCATCCATGAAAACGAAGTAAATCGAAAAACGACGCAGATTAGAAAAATAAATAAAAATCAAAGCAAGTCAAAATATCTAGAAATTGAACTTCACAGCCAATTATGAATCGGAGCTTAAAACATATTTTTTTTCTGCAGATTATTACCATAAGTATACATCGAGAACTTATTAATTAAACGAAAGATTAAAACTGCAAATACGAACACGAAAAAATTTGCTAATCGCGATTAATTCAAATTCCCCATAATTAACCTTTCAGCTCAAACTGAATTCCATCGCGAATTTCGCCCCAAATAAAAACAACACAATTTACCAAATATAGAATCAACACAGAAACAATTCCTACTTCATTTATTGACGCTAATAAATGCACCCTAATTAAAAAAAAAAAAAAAACACTCAACACACGGCAATAAATGTAGCTGGGTTGACCTAATTATTGCAACTTCCAGCTTCGTAA